ATCGCGGCTTCTCGTGTTCGCTAAAGAGCGTAATGCGGCCGGCTAATTCGGACGGTCGATGTATTTTCTCGGAAATCCTTCAAAGGGACTGCGTCTCTTTCTCCCTTTCTCTCTCTCTTTCTGCATAACGGCAGGTGGGTCAATTAACGAGCCGGAGGGGGTCTTGTTGAGCGTTCTCTGTTCCCTCGGAGTTTCCAATGACGAACGGTGAAACGATATATAACTACGAATCTCTAATTGGTGTAACGATGCTGGGTCTTTTCACGTTGCGGATGAATGCACGCGCGACTAGCTTAAATAATTCCGTTTTCCTAAACTGTGTGCTTGGTTTTTTTTTATCAATAAGATAATTCTTTACTTTTTACCGAGAGAACCGCTGTTAAAAATGCGAGCAAAATATAATGCTGACTCGGGAATTTTAAGAGTATCGAGATATCTGTTTTCTATTATTAATTAGTCTAAAAATTCCTGCGTTAAAATATTTAGTTGGTCAAGAACGTCTAACGATTTGACGGAACTTAATTATATATAACGCGGGCAATTTTGATTTCCAATATCGGAACAATTGCAAGTAAGATACGAATAACTTTGCGAATAAGCGGGCCAATGTTTTCGCGCTGAACTTTAGCAATTAATCGAGCGCGGCTTCGAAAGAACAGGTTGGATGGGAAGTATAGGTGGCTAAAAGCGGCCACGACTGTTTCGTCCCTCCGAAACTCTGCTCCCATCTACCCGTATTTCTCACTCCGTCGACCCGTGTCGACCTCTCCCTCGCAATATTTCATCTCACTTTCTCGTTTACTTCCGTTTATCCACCACGTGCGTTCTCGCACGTTAAATTACGTTCGCATCGATCCAACGGGAACTCAACAAGCGTATATAAAAAAATTGTAATCGCAGAAATTAAAAACCCGGGAGATCACTAATTTTTTTTAATGATGTTAATTTATTTGGAAAAAATGCGGAGGAGAATATTTTTTGTGTACGCTCTTACACTCACCACGTGCTGCGTTCTCGTGTGTTGACATAAAAAATTGTAATCGTAGAAATTAAAGACCCGAGGGATCATTAATTTTTTTTAATGATATTAATTTATTAAAAGAAAGCAATGCGGAGGAGAGAATTCGCTTTATATCCTCTTTGTATAAATAATTGAATTTTGTTTCTCGCGCGCGTTTCTTTTTCAAATGAAAAGCGATTTTTAGACGCACGGATTTAAAAAAAAATCGTCGTCAGAACGGAGGTTCGTCGCACTTTGCAAGAGCCTGAGTCAGCGAGAGAGAACCAACTCCGAGGACAAATTTAAATTTATTTGAGGATAGCGTCGCGCGCAAACGCGGCGTCACAATCGTGAAAAATAACGGGAAAACGAATGAAATTGCGTTATTGTGACGCGGGAGAAAGATGTTTTTTTTTTGTCACTTCTTGACGTACAGCGCATCTTTTTGTTTTTATTACGCTCGCGCATTTAATTTAATTGACTCGCTCGATATGATTCAATTTTCCACGAACGAAACGGTCCAAGTCACGATCGCGGATCTCACGATGTGCATGTCGTTTTCCATAATTTCGCCAGAGAGTGAGAGAGAAAGAGAGAAAGAGAGAGAGGGAGAGACTTGTTAGTTTGCGCAAACAGTATATAGAGTCTAGTCGGATCAATATTTGAAAGCTCGATGCCAAAATGTGTTATACGTTCCTCGATTGGTGATTATTATCTAATGGACTCGGTATTGACTCTTTCGTAATTACGATTGAATAATTAATAATCGTATTCCCTTCGCTCTTTTCGCATTTCGAAATTAATGAAGGTATATATAACTTCTGCTCCGATTTTCGCGCATGAGATGCGCTATATATAAATAAATGAAACAATAAGACACGAAGAAAATAATTGTTACAAGATTATACTTTTGCCGTTCGAGAAAATCTTTACGAAACACAAGAAATTTGGTAAAGAGGGAGAATTTACTTGAACCCTCCCTAATTGCAATCTCGATTGGTTTATTAAGGCATTATGTTGTCGTACAGCTTTGCGAGCGCAATTTACCAAACTCTATAAGTCGACAGATTCGCGTGGAATGGAATCTGATCGGTTATTTATGCCGGTAATGATCGGGGTCCGCTGGTAGTAACGATGTTTGCTGAAAGAACGTACTTATTTGCGTCTATTACAGTTCACGGGCGATATTTCCAGTGCACGCGCGCGCGGTCCGTTCTTGTGATAAGATTTATCGAGCCGTAGGCAGCACCGTGGATGTGTATCTCGCGCGCGGTCTGGTTTTGGTTAATAACACAGCAGGTCGGGACGGAGGCAGATACAAATTGCGAACGCGAAGCCGACGTGCGGCGAGACAGAGAGAGAGAGAGAGAGAGAGAGAGAGAGAGAGAGAGAGAGAGAGAGAGAGAGCGAACTCGCGCGCGAACAATGGATCCAATGGATGCCCGAGCAGGCGCAGTGCGAGATTGTGTGTCGGGCGTTCTGGAAAAATGTAAACGGAACGGTTTGCTCCGGGGAGGAGAGTTCGAATACACGGTAACGGACTGACGCTGACAAGTTTGCAATCGATAATCCTATAAATCCGCCGTCTTCTCGCGTTCGAGCGCGAGATAAATCGATGGCGCTCGCTCGCTCCTGCCGGTTTGCGTTTCGCGCGTTATTCGCGGTCTCTTTTCACTAATCGTCCCCTGCTTCGCGCCAAAATTATTTTCGCCATTTCACTCACGGGTGTCAACTGGCCGAAACTTTATTGTTTCGAAAGAGTTTTCGACGCGCCGCGCCGCGTGAATAACCGCTCTCTATATAGAGAATAAAATATTAGTAAAAAATATTAGAATATTATATTCATAAATTGCATAAATTATAAAAATTGATATACAGATATTTAAAGAAATATTTACTATTTTATTTTTATTTTTTATGCTATCTTTCTTAGCATTGTCACATTCAACATTAAAACACGCATTATTAATTTGTAACTTTTTAATTTTCGATACTTTTTTGCTTATAATAATTTTGCGACATATTTATTAATAATAAAACGATTACGACAAGCCGACGCAACGCGAGTATAATCACGACGAAGAAATACTGTCAAGTTAGATTAGGTTATTAAAAAAAAAAAAAAAAGATAATTAATTATATCGCAACCAAGCATGGCCCAGAATAAATGACCAAGTATTGGCCAAACATTAGTTACCACATATCGGGCCAAGCATTGGTGCTATTGCAAAGACTGGCAATCCTATATGGGATTTTTCAACTCTCGTCCATTTTGTATTTTACTACACTGAATAAAAAACGTAACGCTTCTTAAGGAGGAAATAACACTTAAAAAATTATAGAAGCTTAATTATCCAGGAATATTCCTCGATCGATCATCTCGCGTTTACCTTGCTCGTGCATGTTTCTTCGCGGAAGAGGCGTGGGATATCCTACGGAAGAATCGACGTGAGCAGCTTAATTAAGATAATAGCCGCGCGAGTCATCGTCTAATTAATATACTCTCTTTCGCCGCGAACGTCAAGTCGATTCTTATCATTGATAAGGATGTCAGTTGACAAAAAAAATCGGACAAACGCGGGATGCTTATCAGGCCGGGTTATTAAGTCGTTTCGTCGGCGGCGTCTGTGGCAATGGAAGAGGAGCATCATCTTCCCGCGAAGAAAAGCTGTAACGGGGATTATACGAGCTTGGGGTACCGCTCGGCCGCGTCTTAATAGCTTCATTCGATCGCGAAGGGCCCGTGGGGTAATTGATGGTCCTTCATTGTGTCCCGCCGCGAAGAGCAACGCCTCGGCAGGCGCGGCAATAAGGGCCGATATGTCCTTCTCCGGAGGAGGAAGGAATGGGAAATTACCCTTTCGTCCGTTATTAATGGTTTCGCAAGCGCCATCCTGGCAATAAGCAGCCGGCAACAAGCCGAATTCCCGGCACGTACACATCCCGGCTTAGCCGTGTATTATGCTTCTTTGCCACGCGACTCGACAAACGCCCGTATGACAATTAAAAGCGACGCCTTTTCCCGCCTGGAAATATCCGTCCAAATACCGATGTAGTCCTATATTGATAAACGAGAATCAATTTTACATAAGTATATGGCATTCTTTTTTTTTCTTGTCGTATAGGACTCGTTTCCGAAAATTCTCAGCGCGTTATTAAACATTCCGTTTAATGCAAAATTGTAATTATATGTATATATAAAAACAATTTATTTTTAATTATATAATTTAATTTTAATTTTAACTCTTATACAAATAATGTTGCCTTTTACGCGCGAAAGGTTTGTCATTAATTTTTACATAATTATAAGCGGTATTTCTTTTTTATGTCGCGTATAAAGCTCTCATTTTCAAAAATTCTCCGCACATTACAAATATTTCATTTAATACAAAATTGTAATTATATAAAATATAATATAATAATATCAAAATCAAAAAGAATTCTTAATGTAGAAGTGACATTTCGGATTCTGCTCTTTTGACAACAAAAAAATATTTTGCGCTCGTAGCAGGTGTGTTATATCACGGTGTTATACCCTGATGGAAACGGGACAAAGACGAGAGAGCGCCTCGATATATAAATAATTGATCTCGGAAGCGGTTTCGCGAGACGTGACGCAACGCGACGTCGACGATGTGCGTTGCATGAAATATGAAATCCAATATAAACTTTCGAGCGATGTGTGTAAACCTTGAGCATCGCACCACCTGACCAGAGACACTACATTCAGCTCGCGTCTGCAACGATGTACCCCGCGATCCTCTTTAACCTTCGTAATCATCCACCAGCTTTCTCTCTTTTTACAACATTAAGTAGCCGATTAAAATTTTCTAATCGAAACTCTCTCAGAAAATCGCGCGCAAGTATAAGCGCAGGCGCTTTAATCTTGTTTACGAACAAATCCATTATATTCGGCGCGCGATTGAATAAATTACGAGGCGTACCGCAACTTGACGAGCGTGAAACTCATTTCGCCCTCTTTTTCTGCTCTTTTTTCCAGGATGCAGAGACAAAGCCGGCGTAGCTCGGAGGTGGAGGTTGCGCTTATGCGCCCTGTAAGCACAGCTGGCTAATAGCCTCGGAGCCCGTCCCCGACACCCTGCAGCCACACCAGGTAAGGATCTCTCATCTACTTGTATATGTATATATATATATATATATATATATATATATATATATATATATTGTATATATATGTATGTAGGCCTTAGAGCCTGCCGTTTGTCCCTCTCTCGTGTTTCACTGCGCGAAATCAGAGGATCGCGCCACGGAGTGTATACATATACATACGTATTCTCGCGAGCGTGAAAACACGAGTTGCACGCGAGGCGGCAATTAACTGTTAATTCTTTCGTCCGAGAGGAATTAGGAAGCGCTCCTCGAAGTGAGGCGACCGTGACGAGAAAATTATCGGCGTTCGATATATATATACTTGTTATTAATCTCGCGTGTTTGCAAAACAATTGAGTCGTAAATCGATGGTTTGTATTCAAATTCTGCTTCCACATTTATCGGAAAATGTTTTAAAAACCTGGCTCTCCGGATATACTCCATCTCCTTGAAAAATATTTCTTGTTAGGTCTTTGAGGCATTCTTTTATGTCTGTATCTTGGGACAACTTTTGTCCCGCTACGATAGAGACTTTTTTAATCTTTTTTCTCGAGATTCTGGATTTAAATAATAAGTAACATAATTGTCATCGTTATAAAAAAAATTACAAAAATGCCATTGTCACACAATATAGTAGAATACAAATGGACTCGTTTACATTAAAATATCGTTTAGTTAACTGAATATACTTTTCTCTGTAGTTTTTATAGTTTTATTGCGTTCTGCGTCATTTTTGAATGTGTGATAAAAAAATACGCAGCAGTTTCTCACTGTAAAAAAAATTTGTTTAAAATTACAACTATTATAGTGGGTAATAATAGGACCCACTATAATAGTTGTAAATTTCCACGCGTTTGTAAATTTGCAATGTAGAAGTAAAATTAATTTCTTCATTTGTAATTGAGCTGATTGCAGAAGTAAATTCACAATATATATGTAAAATTATAAAACGGTAATGTAAAAATATTTTTTACAATTGTATTATTAAACATTCAAATATTAAATTTACACAACAGAGTGTAAATGCACAAAATGTGAACTTAATAATAGTTCACGCGTTTGTATTGTTACAAATAGAAATATGAAATTCACATTGCAGAGATTATGTTTACCACACCTTTTTGTAATATAATTCTGCATGTTTGTGATATTACACTTTAAAATATAATTTTTACTACAATTATTCAGGAAGATTATTCCAGTTAGTAATATATATATATATATATATATATATATATATATATATACATATATATATAATTCTCAATATGCCGCGTGATTAAAGAAATACCCTGTTTCAAAAACCTTCAATCATTTTTATTGACAATGTTAACAGCAAAAAATAAAAGATACATATTTCATTAAACTGTAATATATAATATAATAATTATCTAATGTAATATTAATAATAATAACTTTTTGTTGATACTTATTCAAATAATTCATATTACATTTGCAAAAATAAACGTATATATGGTAACCATATAAAGAATTTCTTTTAGTAATACCAAAATAAAGACAATTTAAAAACTTTATATTTAGCATAAAAAATAAACCCATTAATTATATGTATTTAGTAATATAAAAATAAATATATTAATTATATATTTAAGAATAACTAACGAAAATAAATTCTTTATATTTGAGATTACAAAACAAAAATATATTAATAAATTATATTTAAAAATATAAAAAAAATAAACTCACATTATAATTTTACAACAGTAAAAAATATTGTAATATAGATATTGTTATATACTTTATAACCAAAATCATTGTTTCTTCGAAGTCATCGAATTATTAGTATAATCACCAAGAGATTCTCATTGCAAAATAATATATGTAGCGTGTTTTCAAGTGGTTTTTATTTTGATCTTCATATGAAGCTTTTTATAGACTTTCACATAGAATATAGAATATAGTGGTAATAGATTATATTTCTACTTTTGTAGAAATCTGAAACAAATAAAAATAGTACAGATTATAAAACAAGTATTAAAATGTATAAAGATATAAAGTGTATTACATATTTAATATAAATAACGTATATCATAATTTTTTAATATGAATAATGCTTACTTTTATTTTATGTTTGTTACATGTTATCTGTAGCAATATTTTCTTGATCTGATATGTTTCTCAATTTATTAAAAAGTGACAATACTTTGTATTTTGTTGACACCTTATGAGATTTTGAACCACAAGCTGGATGAATATTTAAAAAATATTTTTGTAAAAATTCTAAGGTACATGTACTATTTTTGGGATATTCCATATTGAAAATGTAATATACAGACATCAACATTTTTAAGGCTTCATAAAAGCAATATGTCCTTTCAATCAATAATTTTTCTATATATAAATAAAACATTCGACATGCTGGATCATCTGTAATAATTACATATATGATAATTAGAGCAGTCACAAATATATATTAATTTACTATACTATAAAGTCAAAATATAATTAATACAATTATATAGCGAAATTACCTATGATTATAATACATGGTGCTACAACTGGTGGTTCTATATTTTCCAAGGGTGTTGCTTCCTGTTTAATAAATTAACTTTAGTTAATAAAATGTAAATTTGACACATTCATAAAAAAATTAAACACAAAACATATTTAAAAAATATTTACAGGATATGTTTTAAATAATTCTTGAAAATCTTCTTTAAAATGTTTCATAATAATTTTTATCAATTTTAACTCTGTAGGATTATTTGAATTAATGATATCTTTATATTTTTTATGCTGTCCATAAATAAGTATTTTGTCTTGTTTTTTTAAGATTTCTTGCTTTAGAAGATCTACTGAATGTCCCATTAATTGCTCGTAATGCCAAAACATATATTTTTTTTTTAAAGAATTGGCCATGTAGTTTTAACATCTTCAATAGTAGGTGTTTTATAGACATCATTAAGAAACAATCTTTGCGCCGGATATGTAGCTTCAAGATACAAATTAATTTTATGTTGAATCTTAGGATCGCTTGATGAATCATCGTGAACTATTTGACGTAGAAATTTAGCCTTGTCCTTTATTGTCTCTTCTGTTTCTGTGTCAATATATTTTTCTGGCTGCCAATTATTACATCCAGCTTTAGCAGATAATACTTTTTTTTGTTTTTTTAGAGCTATATTTAAACTTTGACTTAGACATCTTTTCATATGTGGTCTATTTAAATAAGAATTTCGGTCTCGAAGTTTTAAATATATTGAATGAGATCCGTCTCCAAAACATCTGCCATCCTCATCCATATCTTTGAAAATTTGTGGATATTTATCGACATTGAAAATTTTGTTTAAAATATGTTTTCCTCGAATGTGTATTTCGAAGACAACCATTTATAGGATTATGAACATTTAAAAAGAAAGAATAACTACGTTGAAAAATATCTTTAATTTTTTCTTTTATATCGTCTTTAAGATCGCTTTCATTTAAAGTTGTAATAAAGTGTTCTTGAATAAGTGTAAATATAGATGACATACCATCTATTACAGCTTGTAGAGCAAATTCTGTTAGGAAATATTTTGTAGTCAAATTTAAATATAATTGTGCTATAGCTTTTTCATTATTGTTCACATCACACAAAAATTGATTTAAACTTTCCTTTTGCAAAAAAAGATTGTCATTATTACTGGTATCAAAATTACTGGTATCAAAATTATTGGTATCAAAATTTATCAATTCTTTATTAGTAACAAATTGCTTATCAAAATTATCACTTGGATGATGTCTACATATGTGTACTGTATAAGTGCTGACTGTTTTGAAAATTTTATTAGTAGAACAAGCTGGATATCCGCAATAAATCCCAATTTTACTTTGTCTTATATGTTTATATAAATGTTTATTAAAATTTAATCTATCGTTAAAATGAGCATTGCAATTTCTTTCTTTACAACAATAAGTTATGCATGTTTGTTTTTTATCTGTTGAATGCTGTCTAAAAATATGTTTCTTAAAATTGAGATATTTATTAAATTGTTGCCTACAATTTTTGAACAGACAAATTATTTTTAAATACGGCATGTCTTTATGAAGAATTTGGTGCTTATTGTACAAAAGTATAGATGAAAATACACAGTTGCACATTAAACATTTGAACATTATTAATCAAAAAATTGTATATCAAAGGAAGGAAAAAATTGGATTTATGAAGGACATTTTAGATATATTCCAAAAGTAATAACACTGTAACATTTAATACATAGAATTATTAAAAACGAAAATAAAACTATCAAATATAAATATTTTATATATAGTATATGTTCATTAACTCAGAAAATAATTATATGTGTTGTGTTTTTATATTCTCTCTTATATAGTCATTATTTTGTATTGAATTATATTCAAGATATCTAAAAATTATTCAATTTTTTTGTATAAATTATTAATGATTTAGTAATATGTTTTAGTTACGAAAAAATAATACATTTACAATTATATTGAATTTAACTAATTACAAAACATTGAATATAAAAATATAAAAGCATATGCACATAAAATGTTTTATATATGAGTTGATATTGTGTGTGTGTATTATAATAATATTTGTCATATTTAGTGTCAAAATTCAATAAAAAAAAATCGATGAATTTTTTGCAACTTTTGCAATATAGATCTCAAAATAATTAAATAAATAAACTATCGAGCTTACCTTTTTTTTAAATTGAAACTTTTGAACAATAATAATATAATACAGATTATTTTTTTCCTTCAGTCTTGTAGAAATGATATTGCAACGTATCACGTTCACATGCGCACCTATATATAACATCATAAATATATATCATTAATTATATACATATAATATTTTAGGATATACCTAATAACACTTGAGAAGGGCCCGTACCCTAAGGCCGAAACGTGTACAGAAACAATTTTTTATCGACAAGTCAGGTCGAACTATTAATAAACAAAACACTATGATTTTAGGTTACGTTAATTGTACAAAAAATAGCTGATCTAAACAATGCGATGGAATTAACGCGATTGCGACTAGATAAAAATTATACTAGTATGTAATATTTTTAGATTACATTTTTTGTTTCTATAGCCATGTATATATACTGTGTAAGAATTTAGCACATGCCATATAAAACATTTTTTCACATGCCATATGAAACATTTTTTCACAATATTTGTGCGCGAAATGAATGAATATCAAACAAGGAATCGCGAGTATATACATAAAAGACTTAAATTTAATATAAATATAAATATATTAAATAATTTCACTATTAAAGTCTATGTACAAAAGACCTACTATTTTTCCCTTTGCTGATTAACCTATTGTACGTGTTTCGAAGAAAATTAATAAAATATTATAGTTACCTTTCTTGTAGAAAGTTGAAACGTAGAAGGCAAATAGACAAAAATGGATCTCTTCCTTTTCTTGTGCGGAGAGACACTCTAATACGCACTCGTAATATACACTCGTAAGACGTACTTGATATACGCATCACTGTTGATCAGTTAATAAGAACAGTAACATGTCGCGACGTGATTGCCAAAAAGCGGGAAATGCGACAACAGCGCTCCCCACTTCCACCTATGATCGCGTAATATAGCGCGCATGGCATACGGATATACCACACGATTTAGAATATTACGGTTGTATTTCATAATATTACAAAAATTTCGATAATTACATAAAATATTTAAAATATTACATTATTTCGTAAGTTTCCATGTAAAACAAGATATATTTACACAATAAAAGACAAATATACATAATTTTTGTGGAATTACATAATTTCTGTAAAATTACATGATTTTTTATATTTACCAGACTAGTCATGTAATTTTTACATCTATTATTTGTGTAAATTTACTGAATTTTTTTACAGTAGAAACCGAATTAATTATTCGAGATATTAAAAAAATAGAGGCATTATGCAAATGGTTTTCCTTAATACTAGACATTTGTTTTTAACATTACGAGATTCGACTTGCCCCATTATTATTTGTCATACTTACGCGCGTATTAAAAATTATTCCCTTCTCGGGATAAGTATTATTTTGAAAAAGAAACTTTTTGTTTAATTTTATCTTCAATTTTCCACATAAAACATATAAATTCGCGTTTAAAAACGCGTGATGCGATCTTTTATTTGTTATTTTAATTTGAATCATATTTGTTATTTTAATTCGGAGCAACTCGCGCTTGCGACGCGTGCAGTCGCGTTTATATGTACATACAAGTACATCGCATACATCAGTATATAGAGAGAAACCACGAATCGCGAAGGGATGATAAAAAATAAATAGGAAGGGGAGGCAGAGAAAAAAGAGAAACACAAACAGTGTATTCTTTCGGCAGGCGCAAACCGACCAAGTATCTATATCTCGAAACTATGCGGACGCGCGCGCGTAAATCGTGCACGTAAATTGCATAATGCAAATCAGCGTCGTTCCGGTCGAAAGCTCCGCTGGGGAAAAAGGATCCATCAAAATTCATGGTCGCTCCTTATATATATATATATATATATATATATATATATATATATATGCCGGTGGATAAAGCGGAGCTTTCTCGCGTAAGCGCAACGACCGTTTCTTGCAACTGCATTTTTCGGCGAGCTGCAACCCGAATCGCCGCGCCGGGAATTGCCGGCATTGAATGGACGAAGAGAGAAAGAGAGAGAGAGAGAGAGAGAGAGAGAGAGACGCGACTCTCCCGTGTATTTTCTCTAGGGAATGGGCGACAAAGTTTTATCCGCCGTCGTCGTAGGTATATACACGCGTCCGGAGACGTCATTTTTCTCGATGCGCATTCTCCGTCTCCCTTCTCCACGCATTTTTCCCCCCGTTTCACCGGGGAAGTGTCAGCGCGATGCATTTATTCATGTTTCATCGTTTCTCCTTTATCGCCCCTCAAGGCGCGCCGTCACGAGAACCGGAAATTCTTCTCTCCCGTGTATATCTCATTCGCTCGTGAACGAGTATTCATATATCTCCGCGGATATACGTTAAATAAATATATTGCGTTTTGATCCGCGAAACAGACGAATCGATCGATGAAATTCGTATTACGTGCGTTATTCCGCGATTCGTATAATCTATGTCGTAATTCGACGTAATTTATATCCGGCGATAATTTATTCCGTTTGTACAATACGGTCGTTGTAATCTTCTCTGCGGACTGCTCGGCCAATTAATGTATTTTGTGTTACACGTGCAGGCAAAGTGGCACTTTATGTGCGTGTTTTCTGTGCGGAAAGCGGCCGATTTCCCACGTCGTCATCTAGCGGCGACGCGGTGAGTGAATAAGCTGCATTCAAAGCCATTGTTTACGGCTGAGCGTTCAAAGTCATTGCCCACGGCTTCAGCCGTGCACAAAGCCACGGCTGAAGTCGTGGGCAATGACTTTGAACGCGACTATTTCCGCACCGTGCCGTCGTAAGATGGCGGCGTGCGATCGGTCACCTCGCGCACTTTGCCTGCACTTATAATACAAAATATCGTGCGTATCAAGTGCGGATGGACAATTGTTCACTCGTGTGGGGTCTATTCCCCGCACTCGTGACCAATTGTCAACTTTCCGCACTTGATACACAATACACTATTATTTAAGGCAAATAAACAGGTTTATTGCTATGCATATATGTAGACACAGGGCGCACAGATCGTATCTATTATATATTCTTCAACTAATAATAACGATAAACCGCGCGCTATTGTTAAGCCATTTAATCGAAATTTCTTTGATTCGAGGGAGATTAAATTCCTTTCTGGATTTAATTGGATTTTCGGAAATTCTCGTTCGCGAGGGGTTTTTGGCGCCAAACTCACTCGGTGATGAGTTTTCAGCATTTCGCCGAAATTTCCGCGAGCACACACACTTGTGTCATCGCTTCGCAAAATTTACCACCACCATTGGACAACCTATCCTCTCGGCGCTGGATAAGGATATTTCGCCCGGGACTTCCGGAATTCTGCCAATAAAAGGCCGCGCGGCGGGCGGTATACTCCTTCTTCCGCTTTCCCGACGCGATCGACCCGTGCGAAATTGCACGGGAAAAACTCCGGTAATAAGTCGTCGGGATTGCAGACCCCGACGGATTCTTCTCTATTGCGCCCACGTCTCGAACGGACGCACGTGCCGATTCGCTCGCACGTGTTCGAATGTTGGATAAATCTTTCTCCGGAAATCAAAGCACATTTAAGATAAGAACGAAAAGATATATCTGTCTTCCGCGATAATACGCTTTATCGCCGATAATATATATATATATATATTTCGCCATTTTTATTACCAATTAAAAAATAGATGACAGCCGAACAAAATTATGTACATACATATATTTTTTTTATGAAATTTTTTCGCATTAGCGATTACGTTCCAAAGCTGCACGCGGGTCGAGTTTTATAAGACTAATCGAACGTATCCAATTTCGCCAGAAATCCCCGATAAACACGTCCACGGTGCGCGATCGAGTTGGCGGTATCGAGTATCGAAAGCGACCTTAGAATTTCGCGTAGAGGCAGCCCGCGTTTTCGTGCGCGAGAAAGACCGAATATGCGACCAAACGAATGAAGGAGACAGTAGAGTCGGAGCTATGTAAGCGATTCTACTTTGCATGAATATTCAATATCGAGAGCCGTGATTTTGCAAGCCGCCTACTCTTTATCGAAACTTTCTCGTCGCTCGACACCGTCATCGATAACCGTTCGTGAAAGGAATTTTTTTTCTCACACTTTTATCGATAGAGAGCCGCGATACGTATACCTCTTCCCAACTCTATTTCTCATTGCTTATTTATTTCTGTATTCATTATTTTTATTGTTTGCTTTATTATCAATTCCACTACTATTATTAATTCCAAGTGTATAATTAATGATTTTTTCTTTCTTTTTTTTTATTGTTAAATAATTCGCGTTATATATCATATATTGTCACGAAAGGAATTTTTTTTGTTATTTTGTCACATAAAACATATTGATATATTTATTGTTTATTTATGCATTATTTACTTAGAGTTTGTTACTGCCTGTTTGATCGTGAATTATATTAATTCTGCATATAAAATATTGACAATCGATTTCCACCATTAATACAATCAAATTTTCATTATCCATGTATGCGTCAATCAAATCGCTAAAAAATCTTCGACACGATTTTGAAAAGTGCACAAATCTAACTAACAATCGATCGTGAATTGTTATTTCAGTTGTTACTTCGCGATAGCAATTTAATTATACACAATTTTTTTCCTATTTCTTTTTCCGTGTCTCTCATCTATGTACCTCAATTTTTCAAAAACTACCGGTTTTTATGTCGGTTGATGTATGTCGATTAAAAATTTGCGCCACTAAATCAAGCGATGATGAACGCCGTGTCAGGACGCGTCGTGCTTTTTTAAACTGCTTTCTGCTCGCGTAATGCATTTATTTGCCGGACACAGTGGCAGACCTATAAAATTTACGAGCTCTTACACGTTCTTACTCTATTTCTCGATTCCTCATTTTTTTTTAAATATAAATAAAGTTGTGTGTGACATGTAAAAAGATTCTGCGGCTTCGACTTCGTTTCGGAAAAGGGAGGGAAAAATTAGGATTATTCCATACGCACATAATTTTCGAAATGGTTTCTCATTAAGAGATCGTTTCTCTGTAGGTTACGCAAAATTCGGCAAGGTAATTCCCCGGGATTTTCAATTGTGTCGATACGCGGGGAAGAGAATGGAAGGACATGTCAGTTGCAGCGATCGTCGGAGCTTTTGTGCGCGCGCTCGGCTCGCGGAGCTAGGCTGGCTGCAATGGAAATTCGGTCCTGGTGTCGATCGCCTGTAGCCAGACCGGAGTTTATCTATATACGCGCGTTCCCGCTCGCGCCCGCCGGCCGTATTAGCAACAATCGACGATAAACCGCACCGATAAACGCGCCCGTTCAACGGACGTGCGGTCGACGCGGCGTAACGAAACGCGCTCTCGAATGAAACGCACCTCTGTGAGATGAGAATTTTTTCCTCCCTACCTCCCTCTTGAATCCTTTTTACAACGCACGCGTGACTATACTGTTTGACGAACGAGATATTTGATGTTTCTAGAGGAGTTGTTCGATCCTCTTCTCTATATAGAAGATAGTGATAAATGCAAATTGATTTTTGATCGGAGACAGGAAACAGGGAATTATTGCGTTTAGATAATTTTAGGTATGTTTATGAGATTCAATTTTGAATATTTCATTACATTTGTAATAAAGGATTCATTAGTGATATCGCTCGGCAATCCGCGGTAACAAATCGATAACTCAGCAATAATACAGGTGGTTCACATTGTTGCTAGACGCCGGGCCTCGAGGGCTTGATATCGATGACGCATTTGCCCGAATACAGGTCGAATCATGTACGTGTTCGTGGACGG